GGACGCTAACAGTCCTTAAGCATACTGTCCTGTTTCATAAGTCGTGTTTGAGATACAGCACCTTCTGCCAGTCACCTAGAATAGAGATTGACCTCCCAGCATGTCAGCGACCATGTGACTAGCCTGCAGAACACCAAAGCCAGTGGAATGCTGTGCGCTGTCTAGCTGTGTTATCCAGTTTTCTCTGTGTCTCCTTACACACTGGGACAAGAGACCTAAGTATAACAACAAAGGGAGCAGTTATCAGATCCAATTCGACTTTTTTCCCCTTAAAATGTACTGAAATAGACATGTCAAGGAAATTTACAATATAAAATGGCTTTTTTGGCATCAAGAAAATAAATTTATTTATGTCTTATTCTTGACTTATTTTATAGGAATATGCTTTTTACAAGTCTTTTGTGCTACTTTCTTTTTATGAGAGAACCACTTCTTTTGAAGCTTGCTGTTTTTAGCACAGCCAAGTTGACAGGCTTCTTGAAGAAGTGCTATTTTTTAATAAATACGAAGAGAAATTAATCACGATGGCCAAGAGCTGGTCTGGGTGAGCAGCTTCATTACTCCCAGGTCAGTCGGAAAAAAATGTAACCACTTCTCACCCAGAGAGTAAAAAGTTAGCCCAGCTTCTATGAGGCTGACAACACCCACCTGCTGGGTAGGGTGCTGAGATACCAGGCTTGCACTTGAGATGTATCACGAAAAGTCTGGAAGCTGTCCCTCTCCAACCCAGGTTTGCAACACTACTAGTTCTCAGCAAGATTCTTTAAAATGGAAAGAAAATCCCTTGTGGGGGCAACTCCGTTTCTGATACATGTCCACTGAAGGTACAATTTAAGAGTTCACAGGATACCTGCCTTGGCAAAGAAAAAGAAGAAACTTGCAAGTTTTACAAAGAACCAGTATCAACAGTAGGAGTCATGCTGTTTATAATGTTGATTCAGCAAATTCCCATAAATCACTCGGCATGTTCCAAAGCTGTAGGGCACTCGAGTCCCAAAATAAAACAGAATTATCTATAGGTCTGAAACATTTGCTGTGAATTTGGATAGCCTGAGAAAGATCAAAAAGGACAGAACTGGCACAAGCAAGCCTCCTTTCTCCCTTTTCCTCCATTTCTTCCAAGGCCTCTTACAAACAGACTTGACCTTTACCTTGTCTCCTCTGCACTGTAAGCTCTTTTCCATATGTGTCACTCCACTTCCGTTGACCTAAAGACATGGTCCCTCACCCAAGCTTTCCCTGTTACACCACTTCAGTGAACACTACCTATTCTGGATAGCTTCCATCGTCAACTTGACACACCTAGGAAGGGAGGAATTTTCTCCATGGAATTGGCCTTTTGGCATGTGCATGGGGCATTTTTTTTTATTGGAGGGTCCAGGGCACTGTTGGGTGGTGCCACTCTGAGCCACCCTGGTGCTGGGTTGTATAAGAAAGCAGGCTGAGCACAGGCCAGAGGAGCAACCCAGTAAGCAGTGTTCCTCTGTGGTCTATACTTGGGTTTCTGCTGTCAGGCTCCTTCTTGAGCTCCTGTCCTGGTTTCCCTTGATGAAGGACTGTACTATAAACTGAAATAAGCCCTTTTCTCCCCAAGATGGTTTTGGTGACTGTTTTATCACAGCAATAGAAGGCTAATAGCTAGGACACTACCCATAGAGTAGTGAATACAAAGCCCCCAGACTTGCATAGCACCCAGCATGTGACATCTCTCTGTTGCCATGTTTACTATCTGCAGCACACCAAATTTCAGACTCTGATCTCATTTCATCTCCCTGTGTGGAACCCTCCTCCTTGGCCCCCTCCCCCAGACTCCCTAGACCCCTGCCCCTATTTAGGACTAACTGCTCTTCTCACTTCTGTAAATCGCTTGGCTTGAGGGAACCAGAGGGACAAACTGCACCGTCTCCATTTTGACTGCTGATTCCTCCATTTTCCTGATGTCTCATGGTCATGGACTAGGAAAGCCCGGGCATGTCCAGGGCACCCCCTGCCCCAGGCAGGTTTGAGGCATTATAAGGAATAAACAGGGGCCTCTAGCCCTGAAGATAACAGTCAGCACATTTCACAGGCCTGAGGCAGCACCCACCAATGAGAGGCCTCCAAGACTGTAACCAATCAATTCAAAAGTATGTTGGCTGCGCGGACTCTTTGGACCAATCAAAATATAACTGTCATTCCCCTCCTCCCTTTGTCTGAAACCTATGAAACGCTCCCTCCCGCTGCAATTGGGGCTCTCAGATGAACCTACCACCCCTTAGTTTGGTCTGAGAGTCCGAGCTTAAGCTCGAATAAAGACTCTTTGCTCTTGCATGCCTTCTGGACTCCGTGGTAATTCTTGGGGATCCGTTCTCTGGCACAACACCTGCTGAAAAGGAATCCTTCAATTTCTCTCACTTAAAAAGTACTGTCTTTGACCGGGTGTGGTGGCACACACCTTTAATCCCAGCACTCAGGAGGCAGAGGCAGGCGGATCTCTGAGAGTTTGAGGCCAGCCTGGTCTACAGAGGGAGTTCCAGGCCAGCTGAAGCTACAGAGAGACCCTGTCTCAAAAAAAAGACCAAAAAAAAGTACCATCTTTTCACACTATGTCTTCAGTTTGTGAGTTTACAATATAAATCTACATGAAGGTAATTCTGGAAGCCAAGACGAAATCTAAAGATCATGAAGTCCAAGCATCCATGGACATTCCCAGAATGTGAATTATATGGGGAGGATGTTAGGCCATGAGGCAAGGAATTTGGATCTGTAGCAGCCCTGACGAGAGTGCTGATCGTCCTTGGGCCAGTGGCATAACTATTCATGATACAAGAGAGATGGAGTGGATGAATGGCCTCAAGCCTGCTTCATAATTCCAATATTTTATAGAACCTTGGGACATTGTCTCCACATTAAGGGCATGTGGGTCACATACAGCCAGCCCATAAACAGAACATCAGGTAGCCGTGGACATCTGAGAAACAACTCACTAACTGCTCTATACATGCTGCACTGTCTATAGACCTGAGCTGACAGTAACTCACCCAGAAAGCATATTCTTGCCTCTTCTCCTAGCACCAGCCTTTCAGACAGAATTCCTTTCCTTTCTCCTGTCTAGCAAACCTAGCACATAACTGACACATTTTCACCAGCCCACTCACATCTGCTAGTGTGAACGACTTCCCACTGTTAGCTCCAATGTTCTCCCAATAGGATGATGCTAACAGAGTTAAGTGTCTACACAAAACATCTCTATATCTTTAAATATAAGAACACCCCTATTTTAAACAAATGTGACATTGCAAAATGTGCACTTACAAATGTGTACACATGCCAAAGAACTCTTTAAAGGACCCGGCCCTTCCCTTCCTTTCCTCTGTTCTTATTTTACACATGCACATAACTACTCAGGAATCCATGTAAGGGAAGCATCCTGTGTTTGTAAAGATAAACGAAAAGCAAAATGCCATTCTTTAGGATGTCTGCCTACTTCCTTCTAGTTCCCTGGTGTGTGAGCTTATCTTATGCATTCTAAAGATCTGGAGTGATATGCAGCATCACAATGACCCCAAGACCACATAAATTCTAAATGCCTCAGAGGCCACCTTGATATAATAGCCTACTACAGAAAGTAGTGTCTCCAAGGGCCACGGGCTTCACAAACACCTATGTGACTGAAAAGAAATGAGAAGATAGTGTAGCTCTGGCAAGGATCATACCACTTTTTATGGTACTCAGTCCCTAGCTGTCCCCCTAGGACAGCTTACAAAGCTGGGGTAATTCTGCCTCTTTAACCAATAAATGTTAATAGACAAAACAATGACCACATTTCCAGGAGTGCTGGTACTATTTTTGTAATGGTTGTATTCTGGAATGATTTTTTTCTCTTGCTGTGAAATTTAAATGTGATTTTATTTAGTTGCATTTGCTTTTTTTCAAACATGGATTTTGTATGTTTTATATTTCTCTTTACCCCAGAGACATCTTTATCTGTACACACACACACACACACACACACACACACACACACACATTCGAGAACAGGAATAGAGTGGCTACTGTGGCTTGGGGTAGGCTGCAAATTACCTCTCTAGTATGAACAGCACTGTAAGCCAAGAAAGGTTTCACTTCATGCAATTGTTAGTATTCCCTTAGAGGTTCATGCAGGCTAAAAACCTAACAAAACCAAAAAGAAAATAGTAATTTCATTCTTAAATCATCCTGTCCTTGAAAAAAAAAAAAAAAACAACCAATTTATTGTTCCCTGACTGCAGATACAACCGGCTAAAGTTTGGAAATGCAAAACGGTCCCAACTACTTGTTGGATTCCCCAAAACAGACTCACTGGGAGGGTCCCAGCTCAGGGCAGGTGGATGAAGTTAGTGTGGGTGGGCAGTGGAAAGATCACCGGACCAAGATAAGGCCTGAGATGAGATCTGGACAAACCACAGCGTCTTCCTTTATAAAACATGTATGAAGATGCCCACACTTTATTGAGGACAAATGAAATAATGGATTGAAAATGCTTTGGGAAACTATGGGGTCCTTCACAATGCAATGCTCTGCTTGCATAGCTCAACCCCTGTGACTTGGTAGACAGCTGAAAGTTATACAGAAATGAGGCAGTACGGAACAGAAGTGTGGGCTTCGACAAAGGGTGCCTGCCCGCTCACTCTCCTAGAATAAACACAAAGGTAACAATTGTAACAGTACTCCTATCTTTTCCACATTTCAATCACAGCCCTTGTCTAATTAGTCAACCTGCTTTCAGGAGTCGTATTGAATTACTGCTGAATTATATCATGAAGAAACCTTCTAGAGAAGCTTAAAGTTGGAATCAGCAGCTGTTCATTTGCCATTTATCATTCAGTGTGAACTTGCTCCAGGCTAGGATTTAGATATGCATGAAGAAGACAGGCCCCTTTCCCAAAGACGCCCCCAGGCCAGTGAGGGGCAGGTTGACAGCCTAGCATAGCATCTAGCATAGCATCTAGAAGCCCAGGATCTGAGCCAGTCTGACTTACCTGCAGTTCCCCTTCCATTATACTCAGGAGCTGGATGAGATCCTCTTTGGATAACTCCAGAGATTTCTTAGTCTTTCTTTCACTTTCTCCAGATGGTTTGAGGTGCCGTTTGACAGTTCCTGAAGCCATGACGTCATCCTCTTTCTTGTTTGACTTGTTCTTTTTTGCATCTTCTGGGAGTCTCTTATCGTCAGCACTGCTGATGATGGAGGACCTGGGGCAGATCTGCCCATTAGATGAACTTTCTCCACCTTGGTTTCGGGATCTCATCCCCACCTGCAACACAGAGAAAGAGGAAAGATGCTATTCACAGCTAAAAACTATTTTTGTTTAAATACTTAGAAACTTATAGCGGCTTTACAACTTCACCTATACAGAGAAAGAGAAAAGAAGCAGCCATGGCTTCCTTGTAGCTTTAACAAATGTTATTAAAGTTTTCAGGAAAAAAAGTAAAAACATGACCTAACCTGACAAACGCCTCAAGACAAATGATCAAGATCAATATCGGCTATTCTTGGTCCCAATGATAGTATGTATTGGATACAGTGAGATGAGACTGTCAGTGTGCCCTGTGATCTTCCTTCCCAAAGCACTGCCTTCAGGTGATGAATGAGAAAAGCCTCAGACAGACTTGAATTCTAGAAATTATTAGCTAGGAATCTTTAAAACTTTCAAGGCCATCAAAATCAAGAAAAATTTGAAAAACTGGCATAGCTTCTAGCCTAAGAAGATGTGACAAATAAATGTGATGCAGCCTCCTGGATGAGATACTAGAATAGAAAAGGTCCAGCACAGAGGAGCAGAGGGAGGCTGAAGAAAGGATGGATGATACTCAGGGGTGCAGCAGTACCAGCTCGCTGCTGCAGCAGGTGCGCCTTACGGTGAAAGATACTGATGACAAAGAAAACGGTGTGGGCTAGATGGGAATGCGCTTTTCTATCTTTGAAAAAACACCGTGAATCTCAACAAATTTTGTCAGAAAATTCAGACTGAAAGCATTGCCAGGAGCCAGGTGAACATCAGCGCACAAGAGAGTCCTCCATGATGAAGGGGGTTCGACATGAGAGAGGAAAAGGGAGGAACAAAGGACAAAGGGGGTGCTTCAGTGTTTAGTGACATGGAATCCTCTTTTCCCATAGCCTCTTTTTCAAAGTGGACTTTCCATACCAGTCACATTGGGTGATAAGAGTGCAGAAAATTGGGAGAGAGCAGATCCATTTCAAAAATCAAATTTCAAATAATGGTTTTTGGTAAAACAGAGGGAGAAAAAGAGAAAGTCACAGCTAAGATATAAACATGGAATAACATTTGAATCATTCTGTGAGGAACATTTTACAGACCGTGGACCTCTAGTACAAAAAAATTGGACCCACAGATATGCTACACACCAACGCAATACACTTGGGCTGGACCTGAGGAAAGCTGCCCTACAAAATTTGCCTAAGGCCTTAAATATAGTAGTGTAGCATATGGCCTTATTTAAAACTCACAGTATAAATAGCTTTTTCCCCTGAACAGCTAAGCAACATTTTCATTATTCATTCCAGACAGAATGACTATGTTATCTTAACATAAATTTTAAATCAGTACGTTTTTAAATCAGTAGGTTTGCAGCAGAAAAAATAACACAGTGTGATGTCTCCTTTCAGACAGTGATTAACCAAGTCTTCAAATGAATCTTGAAGCCTATGTGTTGTGCTCTGTGTTTGAACTGAACTCTTGAAGCCTATGTGTCATGCTCTGCGTTTGAACTGAACCCCCTTTTTTTTTTAATGTGTATGCGTGTATTGCCTGCATGTCGTGCAATACCCTTGGAAGTCAGAAGAGGCTGTCTGATCCCCTGGGACTGGAGTTACCGATAGTTGTTAGCTGCCATGTGGATGCTGGGATTCAAACCCAGGTCTTCTGCAAGAACAACCAGTGTTCTTAACTGCTGAGCCAGCTCTCCAGCCTCTGAACTGAACTCTTATAACCAAATGGACCCTTTTGCTGGTGAGCGCTTTCTATAACTTTAAACAATGCAAACTGAAGAAATGCTCCTTGACTTCATACACTGTTCTGATTGACTCAGTGACTAGATTTCCATTTTAGAACCTCCTTGTGCTTTGCTCTGATGAGCAGAGCATGGGTGCTGCATTGTTGTGGATGCTTTGGAGCATGCCTACTGCATGGTAGCACAACCTGTTTGTGGGCTGACTCAGGAAGATCTTAAAGAAAGAGAGGAGAAGGGGAGGGGTGAAGTAATGAATGAAGAGTAAAGGAAGGGAGGAAAAGGCCATGAACAGAGTTTCAGACTGAATTCGTGACATGCTACCCGTCACAACTCTGGCAGCATGGACTTCCCAGACCGCATTTTGATTTTCAGCAACTCCATACTCCTATGAATTGCTTTTATTTAAAACACTTGTCTCTATAAGGTCTTAAGGAATTTGGAGATAATGAATCAAATATTAATTTAACAAACAACTTAGATCATGAGTTGACAGAAATTCTAAACAATAGTCCCCCAGGTACAGGAAATGAGATAATATTTTAGTCACAGCCTTAACCAAACACATTTTTGTCTAACTTTATTATGTATCTGTGTTTAACTATGTGTTGTGCATATGTACTAATCACAACTGTATTTTCAAAAATACAGAAAGTAGGATCAACTTAATATCAGATACCTTTATGTTTAGTTCTTTCTAAAAATTTCTATCTGAAGTCAATGCTTTTAAATAAATTTTGTCTAGTTGTATGTCAGGGGATTTTACAGAAAAAAAGGAAAAGAAAAACCCTCCACACATTTGGGAATTAGCTGGCTATTTTATGTCACTTGGACTGAAAGCTTGACCTCCATGCTCCCTTCCACATATGGGAGCATGTGGGAAACCTCATGTGCTGGACGTATGATGTTCATTCTGTTTAAGCAAATATTTTTCCTCAGTGTCATTGAAATTTCACATTAATTACTTTTCCTTTGTTGTGGACACACAGGTTTTATCCCTTTCTTGGTAATCTAGACAGGATCCTCTACCTCTGTCACCAGGACAAAGTCAGCAATCTGCACCTGTTCTATCTCCAAAACGTGAAATAATCAGAGCCAACAAACTAGTCGGGAAAGTTCAGGAAGAAAAAGACAGTACCACTGTGGGAGAAAATTTCAGCTTCTCGATTGTTTAGCCAGTGCGCCATTTCAAAGATCCTCTTTAAACCACTTTATTCTGTATTGTGGGAGGCAATTGTCCTGTCAGTAGTGGACATTGTGCTGTCACATTGAGAGATTCAAATCCTCATTTTCATTGGTTCTCAATATTTCTTGTTATGCAGTGTCTGCAGCACTGTGCACACAGCATGCATCTGACATGCACATCCCTCTGGTACCAGAGGCTCAATTAGGCTGAGGCCAATGAGGCCTAAATACATAAAACATCTTTTTCTTGACCACATAACTACTCTCAGTGGAGAAGAGTGAGGGTGTGACCCACGCCTCACTGCAGAAATCAGAGGATCAAGAAAAATCTCATGACGATAATGTTTCTTCACCATGCATGATGGAATCTGAGAAATGCATACATGTGTTCTTCAGACACTGTAGCAAAACTCCCATAGTAATCAGAATTAGGTTATTAAGTAAAGAGTACTATTTCTAAACTCATAAACTGGGGCTGGAGAGATGGCTCAGTGGTTAAAAGCACTGGCCTTGCAAACTCAAGTTTGGTTCCCAGCACCCATGTATGGCTAACAACCACCTCTAATTCCAGTTCCAGGGCATTCAATACCTTCTTCTGGCTTCTGTGGGCATTGCACAACACAGGTGCACTTACATAAATGTAGGCAAAACACTTATACATAAAATAAAAATAAGGGGCTAGAGCGATGACTCAGCAGTTAAGAGCACTGACTGCTCTTACAGAGGACCTGGGTTCGATTCCCAGCACCCACATAGCGGCTACGAACCATCCTTAACTCCAGTTTCGGGGAATCCAAAGCCCTCTTCTGACCTCCGTGGCATTGCATGACACAGGTGCACTCACATACATGCAGGCAACACACTCATACACATAAAATAAAAATAATAAATAAAATATTAAATAAATAAATAAATAAATAAATAAATACATTAAACTCATAAAGTGCTGTGGAATTTGTAAAATGGTGAATCTTTCAAAACCCTTCCTGGGAAACAATCTGGTTAGTTATTAAAGGTACACTTTATGAAAACAGGATGCAACTTCTGAACAAGGACCATTACAGACTTACTGCCTTAAAAGCCCCAGAGCTGAACAATAGCAAATGTTTAATCAGAGTCCACTAAATCCTGTCCATTGTGCTTACAAGGACAGTAGGCACGTGGCAAAAAATGCTTTGACGATTTACTGCAAGGCTGCAAGTTTGGAAACCGAAGATAAACTTCCTGAGAGACTCAAAGGATGCCTTTGCATTCTTCCGGGGTACATCCTTCAAAGAAGGTTTTTCCCAAGAAAAGGGCACAATAAAAATTCATATCAGGTTTTGCAGGGTTTTTTTTTTGAAAATTGATATTATTTGAGGAATAGACTCTTCTATTTCTTTAACCATTTTTAAAAATAATTTATTGAGAATTTCATACATGCATATAAGGTGTTTTATCAAATCCATGCCTACTCCCTCCCCTCCACCTCCTCCCATATCTCCCCATCACTTTTTTCTGATAACTTCATGTGCTCTTTCTTCATTTATAACTTTTTAATGGGGCTTTTGGCTACTCTAACATTCCCCCCTCTGAAGAGGTAACCCTAAAATCTTTTAAGGATTAGGTAAAAGCTCCCAAATACTTTCAACATTTTTGGCCTTTGGAACAGAGTATGTTACTAAGAGGCCCAAGGACATTTTGACTTTTAGCCAAGAAACTGTCTACTTTTCTTTGGGGTCTTTTTACCCTAACTGCCTAGCCAGTTCCTACCTCCTGTTCTTATCACGCCATCCTCTGAAGGTTGCCCAAATTGCCAATAGGGAATAGGGATGCAGGCCACTCTGGCTTCTTTCATGCTGAACAGGATGCAGGGTGAAGCAAATGGAGTACCCCTTCAGTGGGTCTATCTTAAGACTCCCAAATTGCATAACTCTTATCTCTAAGGGGAAAAGAAGGTCCTTAAATGGTGAATAGGAGATGTGGAAGAGAAGTAAAGGCAGAGTAATTAGCATTACAAATTCTAGACAGGGAACTTGAAAAAAGTCAGAACAGGGCAATTTTCAAATGTTCATATGAGTCCATAGGAATTTCTTGAGAAGGGCTTCCAAAAGCATCCCAC